AAAAATTGTGCAATAAAGATAGAGGATAGGTAATGGAGAGAATTATTGAGTTATATTTAAATATTATTTTGTTGCAACTTTTAAGATTCTCCAGCTTATTTAATATTTTACTTACATGAATATGTTTCAGTGTTTTAAATGGAATCCTAAAGCACAAATCTTACTCCTACGTACATTAAGTAATTTTTCAATATTCCATACATAACAACAACTAAATTTTCAAATATTTTATCAAATTTTATGTATTAAGTCAATGAGTGGTGTTATAGTCTATATCTAAAGATTAGAGATGATCATTAACTTGCAATAAACAAGTTTAGTAGTTCACAATGACCAATCTCTCAAATATCTCAAGTGGAATATGAAAAAAAAAATAACTATCTTTATTTATGTACTTAATTCAAATCAAGCAAATATGAGTTGCCCCTTTTTATTAGTGGTCATTAATTAATGACAATTCCTTGAATGACTGTGTTATAGTCTACCTTATAGAGTGATGAAAATATAATCAGACATTTTTTTAAATCGATATAGTGTGACTTACGCTGTGGATCTTTATATATGAACTGAAACAACACAGTGATTCAAAGCTTGATCTCAAGACCTCGTAGTTTAAACAATGGATGAAGTGTCTCTCTAGGTGTGTCCATATACACCTCTTGTTTTGTAGACTTCAAAGTAATATATAACTTCAAGAGTTCTTGGCGAATGTAATGAATTATAGAGGCACGAAAATCACAAACACCTACTCCCATATGTTTCCGATAGAGTGCAACACCCACCCCTGTATGTTCGCGATAGAGGACAACACTGAATGTGTTTTAAAATATATGTGGTTAGAACCAATGTTTTAAATATTGATGCTGATTGGACATGTTAACGTCTCACTTTTATGAAAATGCCAATAAAAATATGGTGGTCAAAAAATATCTACATAAAAAAAATAAGTATTTGACCTTTTTTTTTAATTTTTAAAAAAGTTAAAAAAAATTATTATTAATATTATTTACACATTATTCATTTCTAAAATATATATATATATATTTATTTATTTTATATAATTTGTCGATCTTTTTTAAATAAGACATTTGAAAATGTTCTGATTTATTCCTATGTCAATTTAAATGTATAGACATATAAAAATATCAATAGAAATATGGATGGAAATTTAATACCCAAATTAGAGACTTCCGTAAATTTAGAATTACTTAATACCTCAACAAAACAATTTATTAAACACCTCTGATCCTTTTTCCTTGACATCAGTAAAGAGGTGGCAAAAGAGCATCAATGATTGCAGTGGTAGCAGGTTTTCCTTCGAGTGGTGTTGACTTGCTTCTCATTGAAAAATTTCATTTACATTTATGAATCCGATTTTATGAACTCTTTGTAGGTATCGAAAAGAAAATAGATCTTATAATAATTTATAATAGATATGGATTATTCCTCTCATTTCTAATTAATTTTGAGATGAAACCCATAAATATTAATATGTATTTTTCACTTATATACACAATATACTCGTTGAATTTCAATCCATAATACAACCTAAGAAATTTTTTAATGCTACGGTAATATCTATACTTCCTTTTTTCACAATTTAATACGTCATTAAATGATGTATTATTTTATTTGAAAAGGAAAAATGAAATTAGGATTTTAGATTTAAGAGAGATATTAATATGAAGGTATAGATAAAATTGATAAAGACAGTTTAGAACGATGAGTGGGAAGAGGGAACAAAGTGTGCGGTTCACGTGAAGGGGATGTGGTGAGGCCGTCCTCGTCACGTGATTCTGTTTTCTCAATCTCTNAAAAAAAAAAAAGAAAAAAAAAATCTCTCCCTTCCCATTTCTTTATATTTTCCACCTTTTTTTCTTTTAATTTTTAGAAAAGAAAACCACTTTAATTTTTTGTTATTTAGCTATGAACTTATAATGTCATGGGATAAAATGTCGGTCTTATTAAATTATTGTTTTATCGACATATTTAGATATTTAGGTGAATATGTCACTTAAATGTATTTCGACATATGAAACTCAATTCACTAATGAACGAAATTCGTATGCTTATCAATAAAATTCATTTTTTTAATAACATGTCTAAGTCAACTCGTATAGGGGACCAACCTGTCAGTAAAAAATCACCTCTAACAGAGAGTTAGAGATATATGTCTTAAATAACTGAGGACTGTTCAGATTGGCTAAGTGCACAGGTTTATTTTATTAAATTAAAAACATATAGAAGAAACTTAAAACATAAAGTATTTACAACTTAATTAATTAAATGTATTTTGATTTCATATCATTATTTTCTTTTTAACCTTGTGTGACAATAAAAACTTAATTAAAAAAAAAAGTCATATTACAAATTTAACTATAATTAGGCTGTTAATGTATAAAGACAAATAGACACAAATATGAGAGTGTTAATTTTAGAGTTAAATTTGTAAAAATGACCTGTTTTTTCTTGAGTTACTTTGGACAGTTTTTAGTATTAAGTATATAGTGATCACAGTATTAAGGATAAATTTCTTTTGCACTAGGTAGTGTTTCTTTTCTAGTAAGATTTGAACAAAGAGCACACATGGCTTTTTGTTCATAAGGACACCAATTTTTCCTTAAAATAAAATTCACTAAGGGCTTGTTTGGTAACGTTCCCGTTTCTTGTTTCTTGTTTCCAATTTTTTTTAAAGAATTTAAGCATTTTACACCTAACTTTGTTTCTTGTTTCTTCTCTTTTGGGAACATTATCACAATTGTATAGAAATTTTGGGAACAACCAAAACAAGTTTATCCTTATTTGTTCTTATTTCCAATTTGTTCCAAAACATAAATAAAAAGATTGTTTTATCATTGTTGAATTCTTTGAGGTTGGAACCATGCAATATATTTTTCTTCATTAAAAATAAAAAAACAGAAACAAYAAACAGAAACGTTAACAAACAAGCCCTAAAGAACTTGGATAAGTTTTACCGTCTTAGCATTAAAATTGCCCTAACTATCATCTAGTAATGAAGCTTAGTCTGAAATGTAAACACATTTTTCAAAATTAATTAATGAGACAAAAGTAAGTCATAACAGCTTAGGTCCAAAGTAAACGATATCATATATACCATTAAGAAAAATATGGAGATGTCTGAATTCTCTTTATTTCCATTCCGATGGTAAAAAATTTCATAAACAAGTCTTTTCTATAGAGGCTCGCCTAAATCTTGTATTTTTCATGTACCAGTTCACTTAAATGATTTAAAAAAAAGACATTTAAAAATAAAAAATGGTGGTGTGTCCTAATGATAATATTTGTAAAARATTGTAGGTTCGAAATTTCATCTCATGAAATATTATATTATTTCAAGAGAATGCTTTTGGCATGTACCACTCTTACTTGATTCAATAATATTGGATGAATTAAGGTGTTTTTCAATCTAAAATGGTAGGGCTTCAACTAAAGATTTTGACGAAGCTTTCAACTCTCATTATTAACAATGATATCACAAAACTTTTTTTTTTTAAATGTATTTCACGTTTTGAAAATGATTGAGTTTTAGTTTTGGTCACTTTAGATTTTAACACTTATTATTTTTAAGCTTAAAAAATTGTATACCATCTACTATGAAGTTTTGTATTCAAAATTTTGGATGAGTTTAACTAATACTAAAAATCTTTGATGTTTCGAGTTCGGACTTTAGATTGGGTGCAAGTGTCCCCAATTACAGGGACAAAAAAAAGCTAAAAAGCTATCGAATTAACCCAAAGAAAAATTGTAAATTGCGGCCACCCACAAGTTCGGAATTTCTGATCCTTTTCTACTTCTTGTTACCATTAGTGCCAWCTTTTAAATAGAAGATTTTCTTTCCCCATTTTTTGATCTAATCAATTTTGACATAAAAGTCAAAAAGTGAATGAATTATGCAATTTGTGGGCATTCATGAGTCGCACTCACACCTCAAATACTTTAGGATTTCCAAAAGTGAAAGTGTTAGTTTTCTTTGGATGTATTTTTGTGTAAAAGGGAATCAAAAAGTTAAGTGGATAAAGAAATACATGTATGGTTACCAAAAACGTCTAAATAATAACTCATTAGTTTCTGTCTAAAAAAAATTCATTAGTTTTAATTTAGTTACTATGATTTTACAAGTATTAATTTGATATACATATGATTCGGTCCACTCTCACAAATTATCTTTAAGTTAAACTCATATTCTTTTTTCATATGTCTTACTCGTGCCTAAATATTAGGCAATAAACAAAAACATGTTGGTTTTTTGGCCCTTAATCTCAAATTAATTAATTTTAATAAATTAATTAATTAATGTTTTGATGATAATAAACTTAATTTTGTTATTTGATAATTTTAGTGTTTTGAAGTATCCACWGTGTAGAGCTCGAAATAAGGGTTCCAACAGTTTTTGAATT